CATCTGGAGAAGCACCCCCGAGAAGGTTGTTGGGTGAAGTTTGTCCCAGGCAACCTGGTGAAGTTGACGAACAGTAAGCGTTTCACCCAGGTGCTTTTTGTTCCAGTAGATAAAGACTCCGTCCTTTGCACTTGATAATGCTTTGTGTGTTCTAGAAGTACCACGACAAATAGTGCACTGCTCAAAGGCAGTACCGGTAAGGATGCGGGCTCGGAGACATGTGCTTTGTCAATGCATCAATGGATGGCGAAGGTTTGGAATGATGCATCAGGAGATCTGTCTTATCAGGCAAAAAAGTTACTCTTGTGATCAGAGGCCTTGTCTTATTATCTTGCATCAGTTTAGACTCCTTGACAGGGTTGTCCGAAAGGTGGGAATATTCTTTATCAACAAGATCTGATATACCCATGAGACATGCGTCTCCAGAATACTGAAGCAAGTCGATCACGAGAGAAAGATGTGAAGCACACGAGTCTCTGCCGAGGAACCTTGAGACAAGCTGCAAATACCTCACAGAACTCATACGGACAAACTTGTGACAGTTTTGCTTGTGATCCGTAGCCGTCAACACCCGAGTCACTCTTGGGAGAGTGTTCTTGATTCTCTGTGGTCTTCAAGTTCCTTTGGGTTGGCAGTAGACTGCGGTGGCAGGTTATGCATGAAGGTTGCCGGTGAGGCATGCTAATATCCTGTTGGATCATTCATGCCGTAGGCCTGGAGATTGCAAACTTCGTAGGAGACGTTTGGCCTGGACAACATACGTTCCGTTTCTTGGGAAGACCACAGTTTGCCGTAGCACGGATTCTCCAGAACGAAGTGCCGAAAAAGATCTCCGCTGATGGTCCGCGATAGACTCGCAGAACTTGAGAAGAGCTAGGCCTTTGTGTGAACTGCCTCTCCATTGGGATTAGACCACTGTGCCTGATCTGGTGACATGACAATGATTGTCGGTTCTTAGTCCTTGATGATCCGCAAGAGCTTTGCACGACCTTGTGGTGACCACTTCGCAGGTCTACAGGCTGGCCGACTCTCAAACCTGAAAGTGCGGCCTTGTGACTGAGTCCCGAGGAACCGCTATAGAGTTCCAGGAAATCAATCTTTCCTGTAGATGTCACTTGCCAATCATGATGACGCGCGCTTTATCCACTGGACGTTGCGCCCCGTCGAATGTCACCATACTGCTGGCATGGTCAGATACTTCTGACGATATTGACTCCTCGGGAGGAGATAAGGGAATCTCAACATCTGAGGTGACCTTCGTAGTTTCGAGATGTTAACACGTACTATGCGTGTTGCAAGATCTGCTGCTATCATGGAACCACCTAACTCTGAAACAGCCTTCGAAGGAAGGGTCCTTCTGACATGGTAAGGCATCATACAACATGAGGAACATCAATTTGCCTGACTTGCAGGAATTGGCAACTCTCCATGATCAGCGAAGGTGAGATCACCAACTTCGGACCGGAGTCCTGAAATCTTGGCCTTGGAAGGAGCTCGTCCGTGCTCTTGACAAATCTTTACAAGTTGAACATAGAGCTCACAGATCTGTTTTGGGATCTGCAAGGCTGCAGTCCTTCGCTTGAACTGGTCAAGGTTCATATGGTGGTGCTTAAGATGAAGCTTACGGCGCCTATTTTTGAACACCCGGACATCTAAACAGCTTAAACAAATCATTTGCACTAGGTCTAACAGCAGTGGCATTGGGCCGCCCAACTTTAAAACATCCGGAAGTTTTGTTTCCGTCCCCCACCTGCCTTCCAGCCCTCCAGTCTTCCAGCCTACTTTCCAGTCCTCCAGCCTTCCAGCCCTCCAGCCTTCCAGCCTTCCAGCCCTCCAGCCTTCCAGCCCTCCAGCCTAGCTTCCAGCTCCAGCCTTCCAGCCCTCCAGCCTTCCCGCCTAACTTGCAGCCCTCAGCCTTCCAGCCTTCCAGCCCTCCAGCCTTCCAGCCTTCCAGCCCTCCAGCCTTAAGCCTTCCAGCCCTCTGGCCCTCCAGCCCTCCAGCCTTAATGTAAAAGAATGGCTGGATGACTGGAAGGTTGGAAGGCTGGAGGGCTGGAAGGCTGGAAGGCTTGAGGGCTGGAGGGCTGGTAGGCTGGAGGGCTGGAAGGCTGGAAGGCTGGAGGGCTGGAAAGCTGGAAGGCTAGAAGGTTGGAGGGCTGGAAGGCTGGAGGGCTGGGAGGCTGGAGGGCTTGGAGTGAAGGGGGGNNACTACCTCTGTCATCCTTGGGCCTGGGCCGCCCTCCACATATTTAAAACGCGTCACTGTGTAATAGTTCCACCCGGTCCTTGAGCTTTTCATGGCGGATTCTTCTTCATGTGTAACCTTAGGTCCTTTTGGTGGGAGAAGTACCTTTCTTTGAATCTCAATTTTTTGGTCCACCTCTGTTCAATCAGAACAGAATTGGTACACGACCTTGGTCAAGAACTTGTATCGTGGTGTCACGTGGTGGTGTGGTTTTGAACCACAGAGCGACCTTCTCCCTGATAAGAGCTGTCTCTCTATCAGCAAACGAACGGCCTCTCGACCTTTGCTTGCCACCTTTTGCTCTTCCCGGTGAGCCGGGACGCGTCCTTGGTCTCCTTCCTTTCTTGAATCTCCTTGCCACAGAGGCATCATGATCATCCGCGATCTAGAAGACTGTTTCATCCTCGTTTGCGAGGAACCCTTCTTCCAGAGTGTCCTCGTCTTGAAGCCAGTAACCTTCTGCTCCATCATATTCTCTTTGATCAAGAATGAGGAAGTTGCGTCCTCCGCGCCTGCGGCGTATATCTCCTTCCTCGCCGGTACTTCTTGTGAGAAAAGTGCCGGATATTTGGGTCCCGAAGACCTGTCTTCGGCGTTGCAAACCGCTCCAACGAACGACATTGTACGTACAGGTTTCTATCCGCTACCCTTGGTTAGTGTGCAGAAACTAACCTTTCTCTCTGGCGTTCATTAAGATCGGACTGCACGAGGAATGAAAGGGACAGGAGATTGTCGTTCAGTGGATATGACCACCTGTGGGCGTCTTCACTTTGGCGATTCCATTCTCGGAAGTGGCATATGCTGCTTGCTCCGATTGGTCTTGCAGGCGTGCAAAAGTCGGATCCTTGCCTGAGGGCAGCAGCGAACTTCAGTGGATTATGTGCCGCAGTTACATCCGGTAGAAGGTCCATCCATGAGGTTCGCAACCTCTGCAGGACCATATCGAACTTGGCAACCCAAGTAACGAAATCTTAGTTGCCTTTCCACGCCTTGAAAAGACCGAGACCCAGGAATCTCCATAGCAAAACGTATTGCTCGCCCTTCACAAAGAAGGGTCTCATCTCCTATTTGAAGTATTTTACGCCATTGGCAGAGCAACGTCTATCTCGGTCCAGTGCTTCTTTCTGCACTGTTGCTAGACCGGAAAGCCTCCTCTTGCGAGACGTTCCTCTGTTGGTTTCTTCCAGCGTTGTGATGTCGCACCAGCCATCGACGAGCTGCTCATACTCAAAGCACGAAGTGGTGCCATCATAAGCAGGTGCTATTTTCGGCGTGATGCCTAGCTCGAGAAACCACATTCCTGGCTTGCGGCAAAAGATGTTGGATCCTGAGAGGCTTCGCTTCGTCCTCTGAGCAGCCTCCGGTGGAGTCGCTGTTGCTGTCATCACTGACATGGTGTACAACCTCGATGCCCTCCTTGGGAAGCGATCGGCCGGAGCCAACCGCTTTGTTGGCGTTCGAGAGGGGGGACGAGCCCAACTCGGGCTCCGCTATCAGAAAACTGACCCAATATCCCCCTCCTATGGGAGGATGCAATATGGCCCCTTGAGACCTAATGACTTGTGCCTTGCACGCGCTAAAGTAAAACTGTTTTGTTCTCTGCTGGCGGACCTGGTAGCCCAGAAACACTTGAAGCCAAATGTTACGGAACATGCCTGTGAGCAGTTGTCATTGATGAAAGTACATGCCTGCGCTGCCCCAAAGCAAACAAGGGGAGGGGAGTGGAGGGGAGCAGAGGGAGAAAACGACTGGAACTCAGTGTCGATCCAGGTGTGGCCGGGCCTTGTTTGCCAAACTGGTGCTGTGCGTCACGAAGACCTGTGACGATCTCTCGCACATCCACTTCTGCAAACACTTCCGCTTGCTGTGATGTAGCTATGCGTACAGACCTGGGTACACATGGCACATTGAAGAGTGAAAGAATGGCACTGAAAGCGCACATACCAGTAAGTCAAGTCGTGACTCTTCCTGTGGATGAAGAGAAAGTGCTAGTTCGCCTGGTTCAAGTGGACCATGCGATCCTGGCCATCCTTCCCAGAAGGTAAAAGAGCAGCGCCATCAGCCTGCAAAGTGAGGACAGGTCAACAGGTGGCCAGGCTCCGACATGGTCGAGAGCCATGATCCCTGAACGGAGCTTCCAAACCTGGTTTTGGGCCTCGTTGGACTTCTTCCAGTAGTCGACCCACCGATACCACATGCGATACGCGCAACCTCGGCCAAACTTACAGTATGGTCTGGTCCTGCCTTGTTGCACGGCATGGCCTGAACAAAGTCCGACCGGGTCTGAAGTCCCACAGCGAACGCCTTTAGTAGTTGTACCAGTGGCAAAGCGTCTTCCCGGAGCCACTTCGCCCAATCCTCATGCAAGACTCAAGACTGCTGGCTCGGCTCGGAACCAGGCAATCTTCAGGCACTCCAGCTGCAATAGCTACATGCTTGGGGAAAACGGGACTCGAATGAAAAAGCCTTGACCCACTGGGAGAGTCCCAAGGTCACTATCATCGGCCCCTTCTTTTCGATGATGGCATCCTCCTGCTCTGAGGTGTTCAGCAAGAACCTGGAGGCTGTCGGTTAGGGGTGATGTTGCTTTGTCCCGATGTGCGATACTGTTACTTTACGTAGCAGCCTAGTGACGGAATCAACGCTGATCAGAGACCTCCTAGCCCAAATCGAATCACAGGACGAGAGGCTGTTCCCCAGCACCAAGATGGCCTCCGCTCGCTTGAGTTTTGCAGCTTCGTGCTTGAAGGCTTTTGGTGCTTCAGGCTTCACGACGAACTTCCTGGAGGCCTAGCCGCCGGACGGCTGGCTACGAGTGGCTTTCACAAGGAGTACCAGCACGGGAACCACACACACGAACTTGCTTGCTGACTTGACTGTTCCGCAAGGATGCAGCTGAACATGGGGAGGCTCCGAGTTCATGCTTTCTCCAGAGATTGGGCATGGGATTGGCCTCCCTCGGCATCTTCCATCAGGAGCGATCTCATGGTGCGCCAGTCCAGAGTGTAGAACTTTCGCAACGAGAACACATCACCTGAAAGGCGTTGGCTTCTGAGGAGGTTGTACGGTCACTAGTCACCATTCCTCGCAAAGGCTGCATTCCTGGAGTCCGCCTCTCAGCAGAAACACGACTTCTCAAAGCAAAGTTGAACAAAGTGTTTAAGCGGAGTCTCTGTCCTGCAGTTCGGAGCGCATCACAGTTCGCGGGTAGCGGATACCATTCCTCACATCGTATCTGGTGGGTGAATCCCCGCAACAGCATGCGGAACGCCCACCACATACACTGGGTTGGATTGAGGAGACAAAGGGCGTGCACAGCTCGAGAGCTACAGCCACTTGTTTGAGAAGGGATCCACATTTTGATATGTGCATTGTGCATGTACCAACAAGTGGAGTCCTAAAACTGCCCTAAGTCATACGAGCCGGCGTCAAAAATACTTGTCTATGCCAGTTTCGTTTTAGATTAAGGCGTCCCCTATCGTTTTACAGTGCTTGCAACTTGAAGTATACTGGAACAAACGATACACTGCTGTAGAGTAGGGAGATACTGTAGAGAACATGCAGCATTTCAGGGTGTGGCCTTGGGTTGTGGTCTTTGGGGCCTTTTGAAATCCTTGCGGGTTTTGAGCTTCGTTCGGGGATCGGTCTGTCCAATCTAGGGACGGCGTCTCATTTCCGAAATTTCATCCCGACAACCTCGACACCCTTACTAAAACCTAGACTCCCGACACCCTCTCTTGAAAGAAACCAGGAGCCGAGTGTTACAATGGCAACATTACTTTATTGAGGGTATCGTCTTTAGGGCGTCCCCTATCGTTTTACAGGTTGACCCCATCTCCTAAGTTCATCGCACAACACAGCACCAAGGAAGGCAAATGCCCCGCTGGGGGTTCCGATACAAAATATTGATGAATCTGGCAGGGAACACCTGCTTGTTATCTCGCCGTATAATGACGATCCCACGAAGCGGGCACACTCACAAAGGCCGAGAAACTCCTCATGGCCTTTCTTGTTTTGGAGCGCACGCTTAATACCTGCAATCGCAGCGATGACTGTGAGAGCACCTGTCTAACTTGCTTCAACTTGACCCTGGATTGTAAACTGAATTCAGAAAGCATCCAGGTCCTCACGGAGTGTAGTTTGTAACTTCATCTTACATATGATGATAGCCGCAAGCTGCTAAGCTCTCCGGCTTGTCAGGCCGCCTTCGAAGCTTCTGGCGGATCTCTTCCACTCCTCGATCAAGGTATCTGCAGCTTGTTGTGAATCCTCCTCGCCTCGGAACACAAGAGAGGAGAAAAGAAATCAATGAACAAATCAAAATCTGGAATTTAAAGCTTCTACTTAAATTGGAGACATTCAGGATGCACAACGTGCTTTGCCAAGAACGTGCGCGAATACAGCCTCTTTGTTTGGGTCGTCATTCGTCAAGATTTTGCACTCGGTGGCTGCGAATCAACTCTTGGATAACACACTTGGACCGAAGGGCCACTGCACGTTTGTTGGTTGTGTGTCGGCACCCTCGCTTCTGCACTTAGCAGGCAGGGGCAACCATTAAAACAAAATCGCTAATTTCACGGTCGTGGCTGCGTTTTGAATAATCAGGCTCGAGCAAGGGACGCAAAAGGTTCTGCCAATCATATCAAGTGGCCGAGGACGTGCCAAATCTTGATGACCTCCACAAAGGCCTTCTGCGCCCTGACATACTGCATATCCAAACCTTGGCTGAGGCCATCGCAATGACATCTCAGCAGGTCTGTTCCGATTCCTTCATCAAGCCTTAGTAAGCCCTTGCACCCAACTCGCTGCATAGATAGCCCATCCATGCTGCGCAGCACAATCCTGCCAGCCTGCTGGCACTCTCACAGACTCAAGCTTCTGCTTGTGCGATTTGAATATCGTTTTGAAAGTCTTGAAGCTCAATAACGACGAACGCGTAATCACGACCCATGGAGCTACCGATGGAAAACTCCCGCGAATGCCGGCAAGGTGACTCCAAAGGATGTGCTGCTGGCCGCCTCGTTGTTGGTTTGGCAGCAGAAACCGAAATGCTGTGCACCGTGATCACCCTGCCCTAGGCCCTAGCATTTTTTGCCCAGTTGCCCGATGCACGCTTGAGGCGCTGGTAGCCGGTGTCATTCAACTTCACGCAGTGCTCCTGTTCTTATATCTTTGTTAGAGAATCGCACAAGCCCCCGCTGGCACCGACCTCCAAGAACGTCACCGTAAGTTATTCCAGGGAATGAGAAAAAGGCTAGGTAAACAACCATAAAGCCATCTTCGGCCTTGCTCTCGAATCAAACCCCCAAAGCGCCTAAGCACCTCGAGGATCCGTCTCTAGGTGCAATACAGTCGCTGCTCCTCAGGCCACTTTCCCGAGGCAAGTGCCTGAACTGGATGCCGCGAGTAACGTGTTTCGGGATCCAGGCACAACTATCCGCCAAGTCGCGAGATCCCTATCCTCCTTGCTTTTGTTATCTTACGAACAAGAAGTTCTGAGGCCCGCGCAGTGAACACATCCAGCACTGCCTGCCGCCCATAGTACGCTTAGCACTTGCTCCTCCAACCGCAACCTTGCGTTTTAGAATCTGCAGGTTGTGGTGGCTCGTGGTGCCGGACCTGTAGATGCTGCGTGGTCGCTACTGATTCCTGCTGCAAGCGCACACACCACTTCGAACTTTGCAAGTCAGAACATGAATCCAAAAGCCCCCTGCTTGCCCCAAACTCTGTTGATTAGAAATATCTGCTTTTTTTGCCGAGTCTGCTAAATTTGCATGGTAATTATCACCGGCCTTCTGCTGACTGCGGACCAATCGTCTCAGCTCGACAAAGGCCTGTGCATCGAGACCATTCGAGACCCTTAAGCACAATCTACTCACGCTACATGACACTGCGAGCCTTGCCGACATCTGCCATGCTCTTCTTTAGATTCACTATGGATTTATTGAGAAAATAACAACCGTCGGCGGCGTCGTCGTCGTCGTGCGTGCGGCTGGGTAGGTGTGTACGCGCGTGCGCGCGCGCGCGGGTCTCTGTGTGTGTGTGTGTGGGCAACTGTTGCGCCAAAGGATTTTGGATTTTTGAAGCAGGGCGTCCAGGGGCAATTGGATGGCCTGGGCCAACGAAGACACATCATGACACGTCCAGATAGCCGCACGAACGTACTTGCGATGTAATTAACAATCCAGCACAAAAACAATCCAAGTAAGGATGACTGGTCTGCAAATGTGTTTCCCGATAATTATTCTGCCAGGGCCAAAGCGTTTTCGGACTTCCGGCCAGCGGAGGGGTAACTTGAAACATTAGTGTGAAAGTTCGGGATTCGGCCGGGGGCTACCGTCGGGCACAAGCTCCTGTCAACACAGCCCGCGCCAGGGGCATGCGCAAAAGCACCGCCTACTCCAGGGGCCACATCGGGAGACTGCAAGAACGGGTGGGAAGGTTGGACGTGCGACCAAGGGCTGCGTGCACACTCACTTATACTCACTTAGCACCAGTGTGTTCGGTGCATGCGAATGTCGAGTGGTTTGTGCGGGCAAGCATCCCGATCCTGAGCGATTAATTGCCAGGGTAGTTTCCCATGCATCGCTACGTTGTTGAGCCTCGCAAACGTTCAGCCTTGAGACCAGTTGGCCCAACCAGGAACTGTTTTGTCTTAGCTGAAACATCCTCCCGGCGCTGAAGCAGCCGGAATTCTCAAATTTTACCCACAGTCGAGATGCTTGTTCAGTACCGTTCTTAAATGCCCTGGCTGACTTTCAACTGCCGGTCGGCAAGCACTGCAGGCCTGCGGCAATTTGGGAAGACCTGCGAACTGCAGATGTTTGACCATAGTACTAGGACTTGGGCTGCGGGGCTGCAGCAGCCAGTAAGACCTGCGAACAGCAAGCGCGGCACCAATACACCACGAAGAAGAAAGCGGGTTTGAAGTGCCCAACGTGGGCCACCCTTTTCCTTTTCCTTTTTTCACATTTGTCGTTCGGAGTCACACTTTTCATTTCCTTTTCGATGCTCGCAGCCAAGGAGGCCTTGTTCAAGCCCTGAGACCAGCCTCCAGCTGCAGCTTTTCTACTTAGTTACCATGTTACAAGGCTACACAACCAACCGCCCGCCCTCCTGCAACTTGAATGCTGATGACAAACAAGATTTTTGGATGGTCTCAGACGCAGTTCAGAAACGCGGAATTTAAAGGGTGCAGCAAACTTGGCAAACCATCGAAAAGAATCTTCGAGCGAAGGCCAAGGCCAAAGCAAAGGCCAAAGGGCGAGGCAAAGGCAACGGAAGCATGAGAAAGTTTCTTCGCCCACGTATGTTGCCCAGAAAGCAGCCTAAACCTCCTGATCAAGGCAGAGTGCCAGGAGGCAGATGACCAGAATGTTGGAAGGCAGTGTGCCAGGGCTGCATCGTTCTGAGCAGGAGCCTGATAATCACGTGGAGTCCGAGGAGCCGGAGGTGCCTGCAATGCCTGCCGACCCACCCGG